TATTTTAAGGAATGAAAAAATCTTAGAATCATGCAAGGTTGGTGTGATTTTCTTCCACCTAAACAGTTCAAGAAAATTGTAATTTTTTGACGGGCGTATCATGCTGTGGCGCGGCACTTTTTGGAACTTTGTTGCCGCCAGGCTCATAGTGTTTCCCAAACACCTCTTGTTAATTAATTGTTATCTTCATTAATTAATAATTAAATAGACTTAACTTTTTTTTATATACATGCCAGTTTTAAACAACTTTCTTCAAGTCCTATGAATTTAGAATGTTGGTATGTATTAGTTTATATTTTAATGTAGTGTTTTACTCATGGTAAATATTATTATTGGTTCAAATCTGACATTTCTTTGTAAATTTGATTTGGGGAATGTATAGATTTAGTTATTATGGTAATAAAAAGTTCAAATGATAAAAATCAAGAAATCTTTATTGGTTTCTGTTCAAATAAATCTAATTAAATCAACTTATGAATATATTTACGCATGCATTTATAAAGTTTTTTAATACTCAACTTTCAAATTTGTATGTTTTGATTTTATTGATATTAAAACTTTCAGTACATATACAGTGTTCTACATTATTATGCTGGTTCAGACTTAAAAGGTCGCCCACATGGCGCGTTGGGAGAGCATCTGCTTTATAGAGTCGAGGAGTAGGGTTGAAATCCCACTGTGGGACATGGAGACCAGCCCTTTGGATGAGGGGTTCAAATCCCACTGTGGGACATGGAGACTGGTCCTTTGGACGAGGCCAAATAAACGGAGGTACTGTGTGACAGTGGACGCTGGCACAAAAAAGATCTCATTGCTCATTTAATGGCCTCATGTGTCAAGTATAGATCAAACTTTGCAGCTCTCCATTGTCAAGCATCGGCAAGTAGTGTCGGCCATATTGGGTAGGACTCCCTTTATATCTGAGGACCCCTTTATACCACACCGATAACCGTGACAATAAAGCAGTCAGGTGTAATGAATATGGAGAGTGTACCCTGGTGCTGATATCGTAGATAGTAATATTAACAATGTCATATGCCTTAATTTATGAGTCCTCTTCAGATTTATGGTATATGTGGTCATAGTGCAGATAGGAGTTGACTGTAGAAATAATAAACAGTGGTGAAATTTAAAAAAAAAAAGGCTATTTAATAAGCATTGTTTTTCTTATTACTCTGGGGCCCAATTTGTATTGTATACCTAATACATGTATAACATTTCTGTTGAAAAAAAAGAAACCAGAAGTGTCTGATGAGACTGTAGCTCTATTTGTCTGTACATATAACAAAGGAAAAGTAGCACATGAATTCGAAGCTTTGCAACAGGCAGCAATAAATAGAATTAGGTATCTTAGTGTCGTCTACTTGTGTGCCAAGTTTAATTGAAATCAGACCAAAATTAGAGGAGGAGTAATATTTTAAAGGAATTTCACAGAATTTTCTATTTTTAGTTACCATGGCAACACCGTTCATGGAAATCAAAAACCGATGAACTAAATTATGTATCTTAGTGTAGTCTATAGCTATTTGTGTGTCAGGTTATATCGAAATCAGACCAAAACTATTTTCTTCATATAGTATAGCCGAACCCCAAAATACGATTTTGAACAATTTAGAATCTGCTATTCATCTCTGAAGAAGCTAGCTTCCACATACTGTAAATTCACTACCAGTGTATTTCTGGTCCACACTGGTTTTTGAGATTTTAAAATGACACCACACAATTTTTTCTCCTTATACATCTGAACTTTGTCAGATGGTTTAAACAACTTTGAAAGGTTACGTCACACAACTGCATTAGAATAAAAAATAAGAAAATTTTAAGACGGTGCAATCTGTTTTCAGATAACTGTGGTTGAGAGGGAAATGCTCAAAAAGTTCTTTCTGATATATCAGAAAAGGCGGGTAAATCTGGTATATTGATATGATGGTTACATGTATAAGGATTAATTAAAACTGACAAATGTTTTTCTCCGATTTATCAAAATTTTAATTTTATTTTTAGACCGTAAACATTTTTGAAATAGATTTACCATTGAACAAATTTCGTTTTGTCGGAATGTAAAGCATCCCATCGTGAAGAGGCATATCTTTACAAAAATATGCTTAAATATGAACAGAATAATTAACAATGTGATGGTTATCTTCAATTTGTAAAATTATAAATATTGTATATTGTACAATTGGATAGATTGACCAAAATCATATTTTTAAGATGTACGAGTAATTAGTCCGCAATTCTTATCATTCTGAATTTCTTTTCTTTAGAGAAAATTTGTAAGATTTCATATTTATTCCTTTTGCACAACACTTCATATATATTTATACTTCTGAAAGCGTTGTGATAGTGTAATAGCTTGCACTATATCAGTGTGTGAAACGATTGCTTTACAACATGTAGAGACGATACCATATTCCGGTAAAGGGCTTCGAATTTTGACTTTACTCGGAGGGATCTTTTAAATATCGTGCCAACGCCTTCCGTGACAGGAAATCTCGATTTTTAAGGTCTCGTCAAAAGGACCCGTGACTTTTACTTCAAGTAACGAGGGCATGGCTAAGGAACAGTTGTTACCTATTCTTAAGTAAGTAAAAGTAAGTAAGTAAATTTTATTTATAGTCGGACTACATACACATAACAAAGAACATGAGCTATAAAGCTCTTTTACCGACTAGAAACATAAAAAAACATATTTATAATAAAATGTACATATATACACATAAGAGCACAAATATCACATTAAAGTTTCACAAAGACAGAAGTTCATTTAAACACACAAGTGTAACCAAAGACATTGATAAACAGACATAAAAAGAAAAGAAAGAAATAAAAGACAAAACATTTGAGCAACACACAAAGAAAATAAAAGAGTCACCATAAGAGAACAACAAGTACTTAAAACAAAAGTCATGCACACAAACAAGGAGGAAAGGTTAAGAAAGCACAATACTGTAAAAAAACAAAATAATAAATAAATAAATAATAACTTAACACGATCATCTATAAAACTGAAAATTAGGTATGAGGCATTGAAGTCTGAAGTCTGCAGGAGCTGCATTTACAATTTATTTCTCCGCACCAAGTTGAAATGTAATTTGAAAATTGATTATATGAGGAGAATTGCCTGGCTTCATTGGGTAGAGAGTTCCAGAGCTTTGCTGCCTCATACCTAAATGATTTCATCCCATACCTTGTTGTTCTTGGTCTTGGGACCTCTGCAGTATTTGTATATCTAAAATTGTATGAATTATTTTTAAAAACAACCAGATCTTGCAAGAAGACAGGACTTAAACCTTGTAAAATTTTAAAGGTTTCTATAGCAATGGTACGCATTCTTCTGGTTTTCAAAGATGGTAGTTTAGATTTATGTAAAAGACTCTCATAAGAACTTTTGTAATCTTGTAAATAAATCTTAATGCTCTTTCCTGAATTTTCTCTATTTTGCGAGTATTTTGCTCAGTACAAAAATGCCATGTTAAGGGGCAATAACTAAAATTTGACATGGTAAAAGAGTGATATATTGTAAGTTTTCCTAACTTAGTTAAGTGCTTTCCTAACCGTTTAAGAACATTTAATTGCCTTGCAGCCTTTTTGCACATGTTTGTAATATGCGTATCAAAAGACAATTTAAAGTCTATGGTTATACCTAGCAACTTAACTTCATCCTCACAAGGAATTTTGATTCCATCTAAATCAAATATAATGTTTTTACTTTGCGTTTTATTTCCAATAGAAATTGCATGAAAATTTTCAGGGTTGGCCTGCATTTTATTTGAAGAGAACCATGTAATGAGAGATCTACTATCATGTTCTAAAGCTTCTTTTAACGTCTTAAGTCTGTCGCGACCGAGATTCGAACTTACAACCTCCCGATTACGGAGCAAACGCTCTATCAATTGTTTGAAACAAAACTGCGCTCAAAGAGAAAAGTTGCGTCTGTACTCACAGGTTCATAGTGATAGGAGACAGAAAACATACAAAGGACATACCTTCTTCCCATTATAACTAAACATCTGTCAAATTCTTTCAAAAGGCTACTTTTTTGTCAGATTTGGTATTATTGAAATTAAAAAAAAAAGACTGAACCAAAGATCGTAATTCTTTTTATTGTTTTCATAATTTGGTGTCCAAGCGCTACTTTTCATGTCCTTTGTTTATAAGTACAAACAAGAAGACCTGCAGGGATTTTTGTTTTTGCGTGAACCCCCTTTTCTTACTCTAATTTAATTACCGAATACCTCACAAACATACCATTCTGGTTTCAACCCATATATTATTTCTATTATTTACTGAATTGACGACGGATCTTTCCATTATTTCCCCCATCATGACAAGGAGCACTCGGCGGGTGGGACCGGTCAGCAGGGAATGCTCACTCCTCCATGTCACCTGATCCCACCTCCTATGTTTAAGAGGTCCTTGTTTGCTCTGCCCCTATTTTGTATTGTTTCATGGAATATTGGTCTTCAATACTGTTCGTTATCTCCATATATTTCATTCCAGAAAAGATAACACAGTATTTAAATGTATTTTCATGCTATGAATTTCAATTTTGTACAAGATGAATAAAGGAAAACACACAAGAGAGATACATGTAGCAATATATCTGTGATTTTTGAGGAGTGTGCATAAAAATGGTTTCACTAACAACAGCTAATTCTTTTAACTTTTTTTCAGTTATGCAATTCCGAGGTACAATGGAAAATGGCACGCCCTGAAGGGATGATATGATTAAGTTCAAGAAAATGTTTCTTAAATCTATGCAGTGGTGGCGTATAACAAATAATTTATTTTGAATTCTTCTCTTGTCTTTTATCCCTTTGAGCGACAAAGAGATTGTCATTTGAATCCGTACATAGTCCCCAGGGTTTACTCAGTCCACAGTGTAAGTAACGGAGGAACTCTCCATCCTTGTCTGTGATATGGACACAGTCATTGTTAACATCAGATATAAGGATATGGTTATGAATGTCTGTGGTGATTCCTCGTGGACTGAATGGTTAATGATTTGGAGCAGGAGTAAGCCCCTTGTAACTAAATATAAATGTTCCTGCCAGATTGACCACCACTACAGCTCCAGCTTCATAGTCAGACACACAGCTATCCAGGTTCCTGTTTTCACAAATTTATATATTTAATATAACTGGATGAATACAAAGGTTTAGCTTTATTATCACACTGAATGTTTTTTTTCTCTGTTGAGCCAGAGTAACGGACAACTTGTGATTGATAATCATCATCACTGAGCATAGAAACCAGGAGGTCACCAGAGGAGGTACTACAGACGCCAACAATTCACAGTTCTGTAGTCTGACCACCTCCTATATCTCTTCATTCTTCAATGTGTTCACAGATCTATTATCGTAATCAGAATACACTAGATCTCGGGCTTTTGTCAGTCCGATGACTGATTCAGAAGTTTTGCATTCTGACTTAGTTGAAATTGACTTGAGCAGTGATCCCTTATTGATGCTGTAAAGTCTCACGGTGCTGTCATTTCCACTTGTTCAGATTTCTTCATCACTCAGACAGGCAACATTGTAAAGTTTGTTATAACCCAGTGTCTATAAAATCGATGACTGTTTCTGGTTCATTCAGCCATTCTTTGATTGCAGGAAAAGAAAGAGATGCTGATGATTTCTGTGTTTTCTTCTTGCTGTAGCCATGTTCATCGGAACTTAACGAACCTCACGATAAGGCTCCAAACAGCTTATTGAGTTCTTTCCCTATGAATTTTCTGGGAATAAATTTGGGTAAAGAATGAGCGATTATTTGTAGAAGATTTCTGTATATATCTATGTTGGATATGCCACTTCACAGTTTGGACAAGTCATTAGGGTTTTAAGCAATGTCAATTGAATCGATTTCATCACTTATGTTAGAAATTGTCTTATTTATACCATCCAGATTTTCCTGTAAAGTTTGTTACCGTATTTTTTTTTCTCATCTTATCAACTGCAGCGTTAAGTTTGTTGACAATTTTGTCAATTTCTTTGTGCCATTCCTCTCCATGTTTTTTTATTGTTGTTGAGAGATATTCATAATACTTTTCTAATTGACTCATTCTGTGTTGTACATCAGAGGCAATGTCCTTGTACCTTAGACAAATCGTCATATTTAATTCCATTAATTTTTTTTGTTCTCTGTTGACTATGTCCATTTGTTCTTCCATAACTTGCAAGATTTCTGATACCCAATGATCAACATGATCAAGATTTTGCTCAGATGCAGTGCACTTTTTACAAACAGGAACATCACATTGATTACAATACATTGCACGTAATCGTCATATTTATTAATTCAAATTGTTCTCTGAAAACTGTATCCCTTTTTTCCTCCATAACTTGCATGATTTCTGATACCCGATGATCAAGATGTTCCTCAGATGCATCACACTTTCTACAAACAGGAACGTCAACATTGGTTACAATACATTGCACATCGTCGTCCATCATGTTTCGTACATTCGAGGTGTAGGTGAGATGTCTTTTTTTGATATTTGACGACCTTGTGATCGTCGGATTCACTTGTTGAAACGTGTTTTCGTACACAGGCCTTACACAGGTTTACAATGCATTTATCACAATGCATCCGTACCACAGCGGTCTCATAAATGTCACATCGCATCACGTCCTGGGCACTGGTGCGGGGGTCCATTGTTAAAGTTGTGCCTGAAGTAAAAATAGATTAAGTAGAGTCTAATTATTCAAACAGGGCATCAGTAAAAGTAAATCTTTTTGAGAGTGCCCACTAGTGTTGTTGTAAAGACAAATTTCAGAGATGAAATACATAATCCCTAACATTTTTTTGAAAAATCTAATCTTTTAAAAACTAGGCACAATTTCGGATCTTGCAGTACGGTGGCATTAGGGCGTCAAATCCCGAGAGTTAGCTACAAGTACTCACTGGTCAGGGTTGGCTAGGAAATACAAGTGGTGGTGGGAATAATCAGAATTAAATTCTAGACTTTCCCATCCCGGAAAATACTTCATATTTCTTCTACACTGTGAAAAACAGCAGCTGCTGTTCTTAAATCTTTAATTCAGTTATTTTCTTGCAAAATTCAGAAATCTCTCTTTTTGACGAACTTCGTTTGGTACCAAAACTATGATTATAGTTAATTGTCCGGGTTACTATCAAAGAGTAATTTCAAACTTCTTTTGCGACATAGATATGGTTTTTTTTTACTTTTTGGCGAAGATAGCTAAACCAAAAACCAAAAATTATGGTCATTATTAACTTTCCAGGTTACAATCCCTGAGCGAATTACAAAACAATTTTCACTAAATATAGTTTCTTTTCCACATTTTGACTGAGGTAATGTAACCAAATTTATGACCATAATTAACTTTGCAATTAAACTTACTGAGAGTACTTTCAAACGTTTGTTTTCTCCAGTCTTTAAACAAAGCTTTAAAGAAATGCAAAACCATTCCAACAGTTATAACAGAGCCGCATGGAGATAGCGATAGGTAAAGTAAATTTAATCAATTATTTAAATTTTGATCTGGAAATTTTTTAATATAGTTTTTGTCCTTTTCGTCCGTCAAACTATTTATCTGTTTGACCGGAAAAAAAATTGAATTCGCCATAATGTCCTACCAGTTTATATCATCCCTTTTACCACAAAGAAAATGTTAAATTAAAAGTTATCTCACTTTCATGAACTGTTTTCACGATCCTCAATTTATCGTCATTTTCTGTTGTCTTAAGTTCATGATTTGAAAGTGAATAAAGAAAGGGTTCAAAGTTGTTCTGATTGTTAGTGTTTAATCTTTTTCCTTCATAATGATTATATACAGGAATGACAGTAAGATGATTATTCTAATCACAAAAATATTGTACAAGAATTTTTTTTTCAACTTTAGTATCTAAACATTCCGCAATAAGGTTTTTCATGAAGAGAAACCTATAGTTTCGCAGCACAGTTAAGGTTAAAATAAGGAGGCGGGGCCTAATTTGTACGGGAAGTGTTTACTATGACGTCACACATAATATAATGTCTTCAAAATAAAATGAAATTATTTGCTATTTCAAACAGCTGGATAGCTGTATACTACATACAAACTAACTATTTGTCGTTTGTTAAATCCAACACAACAGTATGTAAACGATGCATCGATCGCAATGCACTTGTCGATGTGACGCCATTTCGAAAAAAATGACGCAGTTTGTACATAGTGAGAGGCTGATCAAGTCACATTTTGTACAATGAAAAATTTCTTTTGTTCTCAAATAAAATATTAGTTGCAATTAAATAAAAGGCCGTTAACTTGGATACGATGTTTATTTTAGTATTTTATCTATAAACTGTCCGTACATTCTCCAGACAAGTGAAACTGTCGTGTGTTTGTATGCAGAATTATTGAAAAAGTAATGGAAAGGCCTTAATAAATCGATTTATTGCAAGGGCATACCCTCACTGTATCTTGTCAAGTTTTACACATAAACTCAAGAAGCATTAAGATACTTGAAAAGTGCTGCGAACCACATGAAATCTTGCAAATAAATTAATTATAGCTATATTAAATGTAGTTTACCAGCAAAATGTTCAACCTGCCGTCCAACACATTTAATTTTAGCAATTAAAAGGGGAATCTATATATGTTCGCGGCACTTTTCACAAATTACATATAGTGTTGTAAAGGATTATAGATTAAACTAAGATTTTTAACTTGGTTATGCCCTTGCAATATTGGAATTTATAGATGACCTCTAAATTGCAAGTATAATTACTAAAACCATGTGACCTTGACATCACGTGACAAGTCTAAATAAAAAATCTAAATGTCCCCAACATGTAGATTTAAACCACATTACATTGTTTTGATATCAGTGAAGTCCTAAAAAGAATCGCCCATCCTAATACAGTGCCGATATTATTATTTGCACCCTTATGCCTAGGTCACATTTCACGGCCGGTAGCCGTAGACCGGTGGTAATCGTTGGTAATCCGTGATGTTAACAATGCCCTGACATCGGTCCAGATCGGCCTAGTAGTCCTTACAGAATCAGTCACATTATCCAGCGATAGGTATTCGATGGGCAACCAATGCCTTTTATGATAAAAATGTCGTGGTTGCCGGCCGGACTTTCAAAGGCCCAGCGAAGCATTGCTAATCATAAAACGATGTTCCAGGATAATTGGCCGATGTATATTACATCGCTCATACATTGGTGAACATCGTTCGAACATCGGTTGACTACGGGCCAATGTTTGGTCGAACATCGACCGATGAACGTCCGTTATCTGTTGGACATCACTCAACCCCCCGATGACCTAAGATTCAACGGATATTAGACGATGCTCGTCCATTCATTGGCCAATCCTAAAGATGTATTAATGATGAATTGCCGATGAGGAGTGATGTGAGGCTTCATTGCGGACATCGCTGAATTTTAACTACGAATTATGTCCTACCGATGACCCCACCGATTCGCAAAATGACCTCAGTCACCTTCCGATCACTAGCGGTGCCCGGCCGGCAACCACGCCATTTTCATTCAAAAACGCATCGGTTTCTCATCGTCTACCCCATCACTGGATAATGTGACTGATACTTTTACTGTGCTGCGTTTTTGTTTCTGCTTGGTATATGGTGGTTTGACACGCTTTTAAACGGTTCTATATTACATACATGTCAAACATCTTGGCATTCAATGATATTCTTTTTTAAACATTAATAACGTACAAAAGATTATTTGATGAATATAGAGTTTTAAAGCTCTTATTTTAAAGTAACAGGAAGAACATTAAAGTTAAAATGACAAGGATAAATGTCAATATCTTTTTTAAGAAATATTTTTTTTTTGCATTGCAATTAATTTTAGTAGTTTTATAATACTGTATTATTCAAAATGAGTTGAAAAAATCATAGTTAAACCACTATCAATTTTTAAAATTATGTTATTCAAAAAATGGACTCATTTTAAAAATAACCCAAATATATATTGAAAAGTTTTAGTACAGCAACACTTTTAACATGTCGTTTTTGTTTCTGCTCAATTAGATTGAATTTAAGTTCTTATTTTGATAACTGGTTTTCCTAGCAACACTAACATATAAGGCTAAATGGATGTCTTTAGGGATGAACCTTGACTAAATAAGTAGTTGATTATTAACGAAAAAAATCTATGTTCTGTATTGAATTTGATTATACATTTATTTAGGAGTAGTGGCACGCATAGTCTCAGAATTTCTCCAAACTCTCTAGGATAAAAGTCATTGATACCCTAAACTGAAATCAGGCGAAAATTGGTTTCTATATTATATAGTTACCATGGCAACATGTCTTTAATTTCGAAAAATGGCATTTTTTAACATGTTTAGAGCCCCATTGTTAACATTTGCGGCAAAGCAAATAATTGGCAATGACTGTTCCAAACGTTGAAGGTCAGATGTCTCAAATGCATAATAAAAATGTTTGGTAAATCAACTGCTACATACGTTACTATGATAACAAAGTATTCAAAAGTAAAAATAAAATATTCATTGAATTTTATAAAGTCATACACGTAAAAATAAAAAGCAATTATAGGATGAAATGTAACCAAATAATAGAAAAAAGAGCATTGAAACATATATCAAGAATAAAATATGATATTTCATTTTGGTTGACAATGGTTGCCAAAGTTTTTATACCACAGACAACCTTCAAAGTAACACTTTGTATGTTTAAATCTGATCCTATCTTTTAAAAAAAACTTATTTCCTCATAACTAATGATCAATTTTATAAGATGTTTGTGTGCTCCAAGTTTTGCCATTTTAAAAAATTCAGATTAAATTCTTTAAATAGAGCGTTGCTATGAAAATAGGCAAAAAATATATGCTTAAAAACCTGAAAAATATTTTCTTTCCTTGGATACGTATATACCCTTAAATGTAGATTCCCAAAACTTTTAGGATTGATATTTATTTACAGCTAATATGACTTTTAATTTTGAATATCATCCATTCACTATGTGGATGCAAGAATATTGTTATAAATTTCACAAAATTGAACATTTTCCCTTCTCAATAACCATAGCAACAGTGTTGTTTTATTCATCAGATTTTATCAATATATAATATTCAACTTCAGTTCTAACAGATGAGTACTATTCAAGCTGAATTCTTTAATTTGTTTCTTGATTAAGTGGCAATTTAGTTCCGAATTAAACGAAAAAATAATTCACTTTTAAACAATGGTACATTGTTTCCATGGTAACACTGTAAAGTAGCAATTATACCCAATTTTTTTATGGTTATGGTGTTGCAAGGTCCTAATGATGGATATTTGCCAGTCTTGAATTTTCATGTTTTCCTCAAGACAGCAGCATTATACCAATTTCAGTTACTGGTTTGCATGTTTACACTGTGTTTCCATGGCAACCATGAAAGTTATTTATAGAATGATATTGCTTATACTTATATACTAAAGGTCAGACATTTTTATTGTTTTTCTTAAGATGATGATTGAGTTTGTGCATGTAACACCTACGACTAGTGAATACGGAGTGATTTCAGCATACATCAGCATTTGAAATGTATTCCAAATGTACCCTTGGATACCACTTACTTAAAGATATATTCTAAACAGTTTCTTTACAGTATAAGTAACATCAAGGTGTCATGTTTTTGTGAGAATGGTTGGCTTGCTTTTTCACGCTTTCATTAAGCCACAGATTTAAAGTGGCTGAAAATCTCGATTTTTCAAATATTTCCGGCTGTTGCCATAACAACCGAGACATATAGTAACGATACTTTGCTTGATATTTGTTTCTGGTATCAATTACTAAGCATGGGTGAAGTTTCATCAAAATTGGGGACCATACGTGGCAACGAAGTTTAAATGGTTACAGAGAATGGCTATTAATATTTAACGTTAATGGCTTTACTTCTAACTCTGACACATTAATTTCTAGAATGATAGTTCTCATTTTTTTCTTAAAGTGATTTTGTTTAACATTATCAAAATGTGTCAAGTAATTCAATATTTAAAAAAAATTAAATGAGGTAAATATATAAAAATTATCAACTTACGTAAACATTGAAGAGAGGGAGAAAGTAATGGCTGCCCACTTGTCTATGGATTTTTATTAACGTCATATAACCATTTAATCTGAAAAACTGTTAGTTGTCAGGTACATGTATTTATACTTCCTGGTCAGAATGAGGAATCTAAATTTCCACTCTTCAAATATTTGAATGGAAGTAACTGCACATCATTTGATGATTTCTTATACGGGAAAAAGCTTGAGTTCAAATTCAGGTTTAATGACCAATCGCAAAGCCCCAACTTCAATCTTTCAAACCGGAAAAAATATTTTTCTAGATATATAAAAACGTCTTTATTTTTTAATATTCATTTAAGGAATGAATTAAATAGTAACTCATGTTACACTGACTAACTTTGGTCGGTAAATGTTACTCTTTATAAACCGTTTGTTCATATTTTAGAAGCAAAGACAAGTGGAATAATAAGTTTTTGACGTAAGTCATTGTGACGTAGGCAAAGCAGGTTAAACAATATAGATTAATTTATTTCTTTTATATCAATTTTGATCCAATCAAATGACGCTTCACAACCCAAAATAAACTATTGCGAATTAAGGAAAATCGTTGTTCATAAACTATAGTGCGATGAGCAGCAATATCTTTACTGTTTTGCAATTGCGTCAAAACACCAATCTTTATTTTCTTTTTTTATTTACTATGAAACTGCTCTAAAAATTTTTTTCAATTAAGAACCTTGATGCATATTTAAATACGGAATTTTTATACTAATTGATAGCCCATGCATTATCTATAAACTGAATTGACGACGGATTTCCCACTTGTTTCCCAATTGCGCGCGGCGGGTGTGGTCGGTTGACAGGATATGCTCGCTATTCCATGGCAACTGATCTCGCTTCTGAGTTTAAGAGGTACACGTTTGCTCCTATTTTGTATCTTTTATGGACTTTGATATTGAATACTGTTTCGTATCTTCATGTCTTTCATTCACATATATATGATCTATTTTCAACTTACTTAAATGTTCACTTATGACGTCATCTTCTTACATTTTAATCCAAATAACAGATTAAGTAAAACTCGAGTTATAGCGAAGTCCTTGGGACCTGTGAATTTAATTCGCTATATCCGTAATTCGTTATATCCGTACAACCAATTCGTATAAACATGTATAGCGAGTTCGCAATATGAATGTTTTCCTTCAAGTATTACTACCAAATATGTTAGGAAAGCAAAGTCACTTCAATTTAGCAAATCGTAAGGTCTTTGAAAGTCCGTTATGAAAGATGTAAATTCCATCATATTTAATCCCACCGGAACTCAAAATGAGTTCGCTATATCCGTAAATTCGTTATATCAGAGTTCGTTATAACCGTAAAATTTTACAAAGATTTGTTAAGAACTTTGCCGGGGACTCAGGAAAACTTCGCTTTATCCGTGAATTCGCTATAATCGTGTTCGTACTAAACGAGTTTTACTGTATAGCTTAATAAAATAAAATAAAGTTTTGTTAATGTTTACATTTTAATTTAGATTTATTTTCTAGGGTTAATTTACATCTCTCAATACCATTATTACGAAAATTTGTGTTATAAAAGTGAGGTCATCTCGCCTATAACGACGTCATAATTCCGTATAAGTGGAAAGGATGAAGTGAAATAACTGTTATCTTGGCCCCTTTTCCACGAAGAATTATATTTAATCTACAACAATGTTGGTAGTTTTCAAAAATAAGTGAATAAATACGACTTTTAAATAGATTCAATAGTTCAGACATATTTTAATTATAAAGAGTACTGCATTATCTTCGATTTTTTTAGACCTTATCACAGCTAAATTCGGTCAGGTTTGTAAGAATATGTTCCTTTATGGCAAGAGAATGGGCGGGTCTTAGTACAATAGAGGGATATGCGTGTCCGAGAAGACCTTATATGGCTATTGTTATCATTTCACACATATTCATTGTCCAATCTGATGACAGAACAACAAACAATGCTGGTTTACTATGTTTACATTTTATCTCAGATACGTGGTTTAGGTCAATTTACCTGTTATCCTATTCTACATATCAAACTTTTATAAAGATCAGCCAATCTTTAATAATAAGCATGGATTTTCAGCAATTAAGTTTTTTAGGACAAGACATGCACAGGAAACTTGTATTCAGTGATAATTGGGAATACGCATAGACCTAGCGAATTGCTCACCAAACCCGCTACAAAACCTTTAAACTAATGTACATTTATCAATTGTTTGTAAATGTATAAATTTTACTGCCATCTCGGCTCGAAATTGTACATATGTAGATCCGTGTCTAATTTAAGACTCAAATGCATAAAAAAAAATTCTGAAAGAAGTAATATTTCAAGCATGTTTCCATAGTATTTTTGTGGTACTCACTCGTAACGAATTTCATTCAGATGGTTGGTCAATTAGAAAGTATCGCCAGTGCCTCGATTAGCATATGAATTCATTCTTACGCCAGAAAATCTAGTTCCGTCGATCTGTTCATAATGGGAAATGCCAGCTAGATTTTACATTTTTTTAAAAATAGCATGTGAGCGCAGTTAGGTACAATTTTCTCCTCTTGCATATAGGTAGATTTCAATAAAATACAATGACCAGGCAAAGGAAAAAATCGTACCTACCTGCGCTCGGATATCTTAAGGGCTTCAAAGAGTGGGCGGGATTAAAATGCAACGGAAATTGGATGTAAACATGATACCCCTACCCCAGTAAAGGATCAAACCACGTTTCTATTTTTGATAATAATAGTATTCTATGAAGGTACACATATCAGTGATTAGCTATAGTTACATATAAAAATTTGATTAAAATTTAGACATTTTATTTTTTGTTAATTTTCCGGGGGCAGCAAGTCACGTCATCCTTTAGCGAGGCGCAAATAAAGCGATTTGTCCTTAAACACTGGTATTCTTATTTTTCGTGAGACGTTATTTTAAAGATTTTAAAATGCTCACTAAAGAAATACTAACAATTAATATCAATTAATTTTATCGATATTCAATTTTAAGCGATATCAGCACTTCTCGCTAAAAATTCTGCTTATTTGGTATATCACTGATTAAGTCAATTTAGAATATTTCCTGAACACCCCTGCGAAAGGATGTTTAATTCATTAAAAAGAACGTTATGCCTGAAATACTTTTACCTAATACCTCGCAAACAAATCACTAGTGTTCGTACATCAACCCCTGTATCATTTTTATTATTTATAATTTTTATTATTATTTATACACATGTACACTGAATTGACGATTTTTCTGTTATTCCCCGATCATGACAAGGAGCACACGGCTGATGTGACCGGTCAGCAGGAGATGCTTACTTCTCCATGGCACCTGATCCCAACTCTAATGTTTTGGAGGTCTGTGTTTGCTCTGCTCCTATAATGAATATTGTATTTTTTCTGGACTTTGATCTTGAATTCTCATGTTTCTTTAAAAAAAATACTTTCAATTTTTAAATCTCTTTTCCTACTATGAATTTTAATCTCATACAAGATGAATGAAGATAACACATAAGAAATACATGTAGCAATATGTGATTTTGTGGAGTGTTCAAGAAAATGGTTTCACGAACAAACGGTTATTCTCTTTTTGAGTTATGCAATTCAGAGGTACAATGGAAAATGGCACGGTGTGAACGGATATTACGATGAAATTCGTCAAGAAAATATTCATTAAATCTATGCAGTGGTGGCGTATTCAAGGGCATTTAAATATCTTATTTTCTTCACTTGTCTTTTTTCCCTTTGAGCAACAAACAGATTGTCATTTGAATCTGTACATAGTCCCCAGGGTTTAGTCAGTCCACAGGGTATGTAACTGATGAACTCTCCATCCTGGTCAATGATGTGGACACAATCATTGCTGACATCAGATATAAGGATATGGTTATGAATGTTTGTGGTGATTCCTCGTGGACTGAATGGTTTATATTTTGGAGCAGGAGTAAGTCCGGTGTAACTAAATCTCAGTTTCCCGGCAAGATTGACCACCACTACAGCTCCAGCTCCATAGTCAGACACACAGATATCCAGGTTCCTGTTCTCACAAATATATTTAATATAACTGGATGAATACAACGGTTTTCCTTTATTATCAAATTGAATAGTTTGTATCTTTGTGGAGCCAGAGTAACGGACAACTTTTGATTGGTAATCATCATCACTAAGCATGGTAACCAGGAGGTCACCAGAGGAGGAACTACAGACACCAAAAGGTCTCCAGTTCTGTAGTCTTATCACCTCCTCTGTCTCCTTGTTCTTCACTATATTCACAGTCCTATCATCGTAATCAGAATAAACTAGATCTCCGGCTTTTGTCACTCCGATGACTGAAGTGTTGTTCCCAGACTTAGTTGATATTGACTTGAGCAGTGATCCCTGGTTGATGCTGTAAAGTTTTATGGTGCTGTCATTTCCACTTGTCCAGATTTCTTCATCACTCAGGCAGGCAACATTGTAAAGTTTGTTATACCCAGTGTCTACAAAATTGATGACTGTCTCTGATGATTTCTGTATTTTCTTCTTGTTGTAGCTATGTTCATCCGAACTAACAGAATTACATGATAAGGCTCCAAACAGTTTATTGAATTCTTTACCTATGATTTCTCTGGGGATGAATTTGGGTAAAGATAGAGCCATTTCTTGTTCTTGTGGAAGATTTCTGTATATATTTATGTTGGATGTGCCACTTAACAATTTGGACAAGTCATTTGTCTGTAAAACAATTTCAGTTGAATCGATTTCATCCTTTATGTAAGAAATTTTCTTGTTTATGTCATCCAGATGATTTTTCAGAGTTTGTATCTGCGTGTTTTTCATCTTATCAACTTTAGCTTTAAGTTTCTTGACAAGTTTGTCAATTTCTTTGTGCCATTCCTCTCCATGTTTTGTAATTGCTGTTGAGAGATATTCATAATCCTTTTCTAATTGACTCATTTTGTATTTTATATCATAGGCAATGTACTGGTACTTTGGATAAATCGCAAAATCTAATTCAAATTTGTTTCTGATTAAAGTATCCCTTTTTTCTTCCACAACTTGCAAGACTTCTGATAATTTATGATCAAGATGTTGCGCAGATGCAGTGCACTTTGTACAAACAGGAATGTCACATTGATCACAATATTTTGCACACAGTTGTTCAACATGCTTTTTACATTCGGGGTACAAGTGAGACTTTCTGTCTTGAAATTTGACTACCTTGTGACCGTTGTTTTCTCTTCTGGAAATGTGTTTACCCACACAAGCCTTACACAGGTTGACAATGCATTGATCACAGTGCATCTGTACTAAAGCGGTCTCACACAAGTCACATCGCATCACGTCTTGGGCACTGGTACGGGGGTCCATTATTAAACTTGTGACTGAAATGAAAATAGATATGTAGAGTCTGTATACTGAGTCTTCTAACAGGGCATAGATAAAAAATCTTTTTGAGAATGTCTACTATGTTTTTTTAAAATAAAAAAGTCAACAACAAAGTTCAGAGATGATTTACATATTCCCTAAATCTATTTGCTTATTAATCTGATCTTTTAGAAACTTATATCAGAATAATTTTGCGTCTTGTATAAATGTTTGCGTTATGATGGAACCAGATGGAGTTTAGAGAGGTTTTATGTCATGCTCGAACATGTACGAAGTCTGTGACATTGTGACGTCAAAAACCAGGATATAGCTAAGTATACGCAGGTCAGAGTTGGCCGGAAAATACCGATGGTGGGAATTACCAGTGGTGAGTTCCGGTATTTTCCGTCCCTGAAAATACTTTAATTTTTCTTGGAAATACAATATTTATTGTTTTAATTTTAATTCAGAGACGTAATGCAAAATTCAGAAATAAAATGAGCATAAGACAGAAATTGAATAAAGCTAAAAAATAAAGTTATTCTAACATATTCAGGTTACATACTTTTTAAAATAAAATGTTTGCTTGCCTCTCCCGACTCTGGTAAAATTATTGAGTTAGTTTAGGTAGGTGAATAATTTTTTTTAAAAATTAAATTTTATATATTTGTTAATATCTAAGAAAAAAATCTCATGCCCTGGAATGTAGAAAAACGTTTTGAGTCGGGCCATTTTTAGTCAGTCGGTTTGGAGAGGGAAACTTGGAAAATATTTTAAAGATGGGCTAATTGTGTTAAAGGACTTCACAGATGCAATTTAGGTGAAACACTTTGAAAGTAATAAATGACCATCACGTGACCAAAGGAGGCATGTAATATCACAGCAAATCTGACACTACGTATTGCTGTACTTATGTACATATATTACAGGAAAAAAAATTAAAACCGACACCCTTTTGCAATGATGTTTTTTAAACAGCGTATTTGACAGAGCCGTGTAGAACAGGTTATATATGCTGTCTACACGTTTGTAAAAATTAATGAATATTTATTTCTTAATTTCTTGTTTCTAATGATCTTTTTTCTTCAGTGATTGTTGTATATAGTAGCTCAAATTGGCAAAAGTCTTCGTTGTATTCTGTACCCCCCGAGAAAACTTTGAAGAGTATATGGGAAAACTTATCAAGAAGCGAATAAACAATTTGTGGTTTTAAAAGATGGTGACCGCAAGAAAATCCTTGACTTATTTGCAGAATCTGTGATTTTTTTGTCCTGGCATAATGTATTCAAAAAATTATACGTCCATTAGAGTCAATGAGTTTGTACGTTATGAACCGAAGAAGTTCCCTAAAAAGTTGGATTTAGAATTTGACAGATTTATGCATATGATAAACATTTTTTTTACAATACCATTCACATACTTTAAAAAAAGTATGCTTAACGACCCCAGTCTTGATTTAAAAAACTTTGAACTTGATGTAGAAATACACAAAATACTCAACAGAGGAGCAAGAAAGTTTCCTTTTCACTTTATGATGGAGATTATGTTAGCCAAGAACGATATTTATGGTAATCATTAACGTTCTGAGAGTAATTTCAACCATCTTTAATTTGCTTCTTATTATTTGTAGGTACTTAACAAATTAAATCAAATGAAAATGATTTGTGACGTTTACTAGAAAAGAATTCGCAGATTGTTTTAGGTTTAAAAGGACGAGGATATTACCATACTGTGTGTAGTTTTAAGGTTTTTGTACTAGGCTAGGTCTTTGGGGGATCAGTTGGCAAGGTAAAAGTCAAGAGACTGGTACGACGACAGAATTACGTGATAAAGGTTTGTCGATTCTCATTAGAACAGGGACTTTCGAATGGGGAAAAATTAGAAATGCTTTGCAACTATTATGAGCTGAACAGTTACTTAACTCCCAAAGGAAAAAGGGCATGCCGGCCAATAAAGGTCTAAAAGCAAGTTGCTATAACATTATACTGGCTGTAAAATTTATTGTGCTTTCACACACCGAAAAATTCTCCAGGAGTACAAATAGGCATATGTCAAAAGTAAATTTGCACCTAATTTGGGAAAATGCAAATTTACACCCGACGAACATTATGTATATTTACTTTTACATATATGCAATTGCGTACAAATGCTCAAATTTAGTTATTGCAAAACCTGCACCAAATGAGTAAATCAGCGCTTGTGAATTAGGCTGTATTTATGTCTCTCTACCTTTTGACAAAGATAGCTTTACCTCAAACCAAAATTATGATCATAATCAACGAACCAGGTTACAAGTACTGGCGGCAATTTCAAAAATATTTGCTACTTAGCTGTTTCTTCTCCACATCTTGACAGAAATAATTCAGCTACGAACCAAGATTATGGTCAAAATTAAGGTTTCTGGTTAAACTTACTTTCAGACGTATTTTACGTTGATATTGTTTCCTTTTTGTCCGTCTAGCTGTTTGTTTGACCGAAATATCTTTATCTTCGCCAAATTCCTTGAATGGTTGAAGCAATTACTTTGATACGTCACACATGTATTTCCTGTGACATGGAACATTTGCAATTTCGGATTTACAAACTAACAGGTCTGATTTTTTTCAAACGATAACTATCCATACTTCATGTCTTTGATTTCAGGACGTGAAAAAGCAATACTTTTTTCCCAACTTACGTAGGCGAACTTCTAAACATATAGCAGTAAGAGAAATGTCCACCTCATATCAAAACTTGAACAGAGCAAATATACTTAAAACGATCGAAATGGGAGAGGGTTCTGATAAGCCTGATTCTTTTTATATACGAGGGTTGTTAGAAAAGTTCGAGTACATATTGCTTTACTTGAGATTTAATGCATTCTTTGAAGGATGACACATGCTGATAAATTTATTATTGATAAGCATACAAAAACATAAAAAGATCTTCAGGCAATAAGCGGGGTATCGCAGAACTTTCGAACAAGTCGGTGCACAAGACTGTTAATGTGGTTACAAAAACCTTTTTACGCATAGGTCATTTATTACCTGCGATAAAACATTTTACCTTATTAACTTTTATTCGAATTTTAGCCAACTGAATAAATGCTGTACTTGCAATTTTAAAAAATATCGTATATCCGTATTCGTTAAAACAGTGTGATGAGGTGACTTGCAGCCCCTGATAAATTAACAAAAAATGAAATGTTTGAATTTTACTCAAATTTTTATATGTAACTAATCGCTGATATGTGTACCTTTATAGAATACTATTCTTACCAAGAATAGAAACGTGATTTGAAAGATATCGATCTATTAGTGGGGTAGTGGTATCATGTTTACATCCAATTCCCATTGCATTTTAACCACGCCACACTCTTTGAAGCCCTTAAAATATACGAGCGCATATAGGTACAATTTTCTCCTTTGGCTGGTCACTTTTTTTTTAAATATACCTATATGTGAAAGGAGAAAATTGTACCTAACTGCGCTCACATGCTATTTTTCAAAAAATTGTAATATCTAGCTGGCCTTTCCCATTATGAACAGATCGACGGAACCAGATTTTCTGACGTAAGAATGAATTTATATGCTAATCGAGGCATTGGGGATACTTTCTAACTGATCAATCAGCTAAATGAAATTCGTTACGAGTGAGAACCACTAACAATACTATCACTATGAAAACATGCTTTGAATTGTACTGCTTTCCGATATATCTTATGCAGTTGAGTCACAGATTAGATAACGATCAACAACATATGTACAATTCCGAGATCACGGCAAAGTTTATATACAGCTACATACAATTGATAGATATACATAAGGTTTAAGTTTTGTAGCGTGTTTGGTGAGCAATACGCTAGGTCTACATGTATTCCCAGATATAAGTGGATACAAGTTTCATGTGCATTTATTGTCCTAAAAATCGTAACTGCTGAAAATCCATGCAGATTTTTTTTGTATAAAAAGCCTTGGCGGACCATTATAAAAGTTTGAAATGTAGAAAAGGATATCAGGTAAATTGACCTAAACCTAGTGTCTGAGATAAAATGAAAACGCAGGAAAAAAACATGTTTTGTTGTTCTGTCATCGGATTGAACAATGACTATGTGCGAAATAATAACAATAGCCATATAAGGTCTTCTCGGACACCCATATCCCTCTATTTATCTAAGACCTGGCCATTCTCTTCTCATAAAAGAGCATATTCTCACAAACTGGCCGAATAAAGCCGTAATAGGGTCTAAAAAAATCAAAGACAATGCAGTATTCTTTATAATTAAAATATGTCTGAACTATTGAAACTATTCAAAAGGCGTCGTATTTATTCACTCTTGTTTGAAAACTACCAACATTGTTGTAGTTTAATTATAATTCGTCGTTGAAAATGGGGCCACAGAAAGCAGTTAAGTCACATCATCCTAAAAATTTCAAAAACATATAAACATATAGATGTAATGGAAATAATCCACTCCATTCATTTCGTACTCTAATGTTTTTTCTTGGAATACATGTTTTCCAGGAACGCTCTTTTTTATGTAGATGTACATGCATTTTCCTAATTATTTTTGATATGATTGATCTTTATTGTCAGTTGTTTTCGTGAAAGCCTACACTTTTTAATGTAATGTTGACAGAATATATATAATGCACGAAGCGTGAGATGGCAATCGATATAATTGTTACACTGTACTCATTGTACATGTTACATCTATCTCTATCTAGGATTTGGTATAAAATTCCGATTAATTTTGATTATTATTTCGATACTATAAATAAATAGCCTTATCTTGTATTTTTTCGTACTTACATTTAATGACAAATTGAATACTTTGGTGAACAATTACAATCAATCAATCTTGTTCACACTCGCATTATAAGCCTATCCAAACTTATACACAGTGTTCAGAAGTAAATGTAAAGTGCCTTTCCCACGGACACAACGTTGACTTGCCACGGCCAAGATTCGATTTTAAACCTTTCAGTTTGGAGTCCGGCACCTTAACCACTAAAATACCGACG